TCGCTCTCGGTCTGTCGCTCTCGGTCTCTCTCGCTCGCTCGCTCGCTCGCTCGCTCGCTCGCTCTCTCTCTCTCTCTCTCTCTCTATATATATATATATATCTTTTTTTTTCTCTCTCTCTCTCTCTCTCTGTGTCTATGGGGAACAGTTCTTATGCACTCTGGCTTAATCATTCAGGACTCTGTTGCAATCATGAATCACTGGATACAATCTTCCGTCAGTCACTCCGAAACAAATATTGAGTCCGACTTGCTACCAAGGGCAAACTCTTTTTCATGTTCAGTCTCTTCTCTCTGACAGACTCCTCGTGGACTCATTTGGTCACTCGAAGTGTCACGGATGCTGCCTTCACGCCCTCGCTCTGAGATGTTCTCCTTTGAATAGAAATGTCCACTCATTGATTCATCACGTCAACCGCATCATTTCGGATTCTGTCTCTATCTTGCGAAGCCAGTCAGCCCGCACCCTCACGTTTCGGTTGCACCTCATGTTTCTGGGCACGAGACACCATGATTTTTGCACGTTTTCTGAAGCGCCGGGCAGGAGCTCAACCAGCAGACGTTCCGCAGCCTGAGCTTCCTGTGCGATGCTTCACCGAAATCTTTCAAGGAGGAGACTCGGTGGACTTACTTGAATCAATTCGTTTTCATGATGAAGCAACTGTGTCAGTTTGCTTCTAGAGTGTCGGCGAAACCGAGTTGTGGTGTCCAATCGTCGCAGCCAGCGACTTGGCGGTGCCGTGGGTGGTCCAGCGGCTCAGCGATCTCCTGGGCTCAACCGCCGAGTCGAGCGAGAAACTCGAAGCAGCACAGGAAGTTGCAGATGGCCTATCAGGCAAAATGGTTGACAACAGCCGTGCCCGGGCGAAGCAGCTTCTCGGCAAAACCAAGCATGTGCCTGGATTTCTCATAGCGCCAAACACCTGCAACAACTCAGGCCAAAGAGCCTCTCCAAAGTACAGCAGGCACGGTTGGCGACTCGTGAGCAAGTTCAAGCCGTGCTCCATTCGTTGGAGCTGCTGGAAGTTGAGCTGAAGCCGGGCATAGTTGGGTACCCAAGTGCCAACCCGAAGAAAGGCACTCAGCGACTGTATCACGATGGCAAGCCTTTTCTGTATGATATGGAGAAGGGCGACGGTTTATGGATGGAGCTTGAAGCGGATGACCGAGTCCGCATCATTTTGAACCCTGATGAAGGGTCGCCGCTTTTCGCGGGGTTTCAGTTCCTGGCGAATGCGATGTTGCCTGTGGCTTTCCGGCGGGACGAGTTGCACCTGGGTCGCCCTAATCGGTGTGGTGTACAAGCATCATGCTTGTCTGTGCAATGATGATCATGAATATGGGCTATAGTTGGTTTCGGGTTTTAGCAGTCCACTTGCAGGCACAAGCTGAGCAATCACTTTCGTCGAGTGTTCAATGCCTCTGCTGGTCTGAAGCGAGCCTGGGATGCCTTTCAAATGCTTGGATGGGGACGATTGCTATGAGGAGTTGCTTTTGGTATGAACATATCTGCGGTTTCACTCATACACCGACACATGTATGAATGTGTGTACCCACATACTGTTGCATGTTAACACATCCGCATCCGCAGCTGCACACGTCTATGTCTATATGAGTGTTTGGCCCTGTATACGGTCAGTATGGGCTAACACGTTGGTCTGTCTGCATGTATGCACGCCTGGATCGATCAATGGAATGCTTGTTCGGATGTGTATACGTATGTCTGTTTTGTTCGTTCAAATGGCTTTGCTTCTCTGGTTGGCTACTTGGTCAGCTTATTGCTCATTTGAAGACAGATGAGGAATGTTTGGTCTGACTTCCTGGCTGATGCGGGCTCGGAAAGCTCCTTGGGCTACGAACAAGATAGGATCCACGTGGCAACAGGCACTACGGCGGTACGTGGAAATCGTGCTCGGGCAGCAATATACAGGGTCATTCAGAAGGCAGCGAGTCGACAAAAGCTGTTGATTGAAGTCATTCTTGCTGAGTAGCCACATCTTAGGCCTTGCCAGATGACACGTTGCAACAGCTCTTTGGGCCCGCAGTGTTGAAGGAGAGACTCAGTGGCACCAGTTCCTGTGGTATTCTCCGGCTTCTGTTGCATAGAGCCAAGGAATGGATTCTCCCCGTCAGGAGACGAACGCCTCGACTTCGACAGGACAGTTCAGATCTTGCAGTCGATGACGGGGACGCTCGCAGCAATTAATAAAAGACGTCTCGACTCTACGCATGTCGTGAAGCTGGCAATTGAATGACACCTGTGCTTTACTTTCTGCTCTTAAGAAGTGAAGCCGAGGAGAGTGCTCAGCAAGCACTCGCAGGGCCGTTGGCTGTCGTGGGGATTTTCGGCCCAGTCTTTCACGAAAAAATACACGGCGACTCTCCTGGCCGTCATGTGGACGGGCATGGAGGAGAGACCATGGTCTGGCAGCACAGATGCTAGCAGCCAGACTCTGTGCAGGAGGGCCGCAACCCGTTCGTCGAGGAGAAGACCAACCAGG